GGAAAGAGGAAGTAGTTTGAGGAGGAGGAATATGGGGGGACATGAGAAGGTCCATTCAAGTAGTTATGGGTCCCCCACTTGTTTTTACTCTAGAGCAGTGGTTCATGCTTTGCCCTCGAGATTCCATAGAAGCTTATCAAGGTTCCTTTATAAGAAGACATATTTCCTTATTCACCACCTACCAATCTTTCCCAACAATAGCAAAGTCCTGAGGTGTGTGCTAGGACATGCTGTGAGTTCGCAAATCTGATAATGAAACCAAAAGGCCTGGCCAGCACTGCTCTCATGAACTGATGACATGGCTGAGAATCCTCTGAAACATGGGGCTTTTCCACACTCTTTATTTTCATTGCTTGTGTGCCCCTATTGCTTTGGGGTTGTTGTTTTTCTTTCCTGCACAAATTTTGCTCCTTCTAGTGATTGCTTCGATATTACATCAGTGTACCTTCAGCATGTTTCCTGCAGGGACACATGCCAGAGATACAGTGGTGTAATATCAAGGCAACCACTAGAGGGTGCAAAACACATGCAGGAAAGTGGGGGAAGCCATCAGGGCACGCAAACAACAAAAATGAGAGTGCGAAAGAACATGCAGAGGTTCCAAGTGGAATGGCAGAAAGTTTGTAAGGAATTCCTCCACAATAATAAAGAGGAAACATTTTCATTCCTGTATCTTCCTTTATTCTGGCCTCAAATCTTTCCCAGTTTTACAGATTAGTCAAAACCAGGGATTGTAGAGCAATGCTGTTAAACTATTAAACTGTTCGGTCATTACAATTTTGGTGTAAAGAGAGATTATGCTATGCATAACACATGAACCTCTTGACAGGTGTGGTCACCATTTTGTGTGAACAGGGCACTGGCTGTTTTCAGAAGTAAAAGTTTTCACTAAAAATATTTTATGCTGAATCTTTTTCAACCCTATTTTCAAGGACCCCCTGGTGTGCCCGGAACGAGTAAAGATGGTCGGGATGGTGCTCCTGGCGAACCCGGATTGCCAGGTGATCCCGGAAGACCAGGTGCAATTGGGGTTCAGGGAACTCACGGAATCTGTGATACATCCGCCTGCATGGGAGCTGCTCTGGCTGGTGGAGGGAAGTCCAAAAAGTCATAAAGCTGCATTTAAAATGAAGTGGGAAAACGGGAACTTGGATATTTAAGTGAATCATTGATAACAAGAAGACAGGAATATCCTCCTAGTGAAAATGGCAAGATGGTTCTCCAGCAAAAATGAATACGGTGGACTATAATTTAGTTCTGTGAAACGGGGAAAACATGGAGTGGGAATTTATATGAAGTAGTGTCTCCCCTTCCTTCCCAGTTTTCCTAACGCTCTCACTTGCCCCCCGAAGAGATGCTGTGTTCCTGAACGTGCATAACCCTTTGCTTTTAAGATCACCCCCTTTGCCCAGGCTACCGTTTTATGGCAGCATTTGTGACACTTTGATCCTGCACCGATAGATGTTAATGGAAAACTCATCCACCCAAATACCAGTGGGGCCGAGGCTGTGCAAACACGCCCAGGCCAAGTGACATGTGCATAATCCCAGACAGGTGATCAGTAATGGCACTGATTATTTGGCATGGGAAGGAGCAGGCAGCAGCCCCCCATACCATTTTGCTCGGCACCCGGGACCCCACCCAAGCAGCTGAGGAAGTGGCAGCAGTGTGGGGGCTAGAGGTGCAAGAGGAGGCAACAGGCATGGCTTACGCCCATCGGGACCTAACTAGATCTGCATGGCCACAAGCTGAACACAAGGCAATCCCCTGAGATGCTGGGTCTTGACTTGCTCCAAGGACGTCTGGTCGAGAACAACCAAGGCTTTTTGTGTGTGTGGTGGTACTCACTGGTGGGAGGGAAGGCTGCATGGTATAGTCAGATCTCGGAAGCTGAGCAGGGTGGGTGACTTGGAAGGGAGACCACCAAGGAAGGCTCTGCAGAAGGCAACGGCAAACTACCTCTGCTTCTCACTTGCCTTGAAAGCCCCTTGCTAGGGCTGCCGTTAAGTCGGCTGTGACTTCATGGCACTTTACATACACACTCACTGTATTAAGTACTGACACCTTTGGTGGGGGGCTTTCCCAAGTCCTAAGGGGGGAACTGGTGGAAATCAGTGCAACCTTACATATGAGTACCAGCGGCTCTTTTTTTGTTTTTTTGAGTACAACCATCATTCCCCCTTTTCATTTGCCAGCAAACCAGCATCTGCACAGGTAGGGACTGCTTTGGGAGGGCACTTGGGTCGAAAAAGGCTGTCTGCTCCGGGGCTAGGGCTACATGAACACAGCCCCCTCTGCTGGAATAGGCCAAGAACTGCACGCAGAGCCCTTGCTTGAGCGTGTGTGTATTCATCAGCTGCACGTGC